TAATCTAGGCCTTAATAAGACAAGCCAAATGCAAGTTTTAGAGATAGTTACAAATATGTGCTTTTGTGGTTAAAATAGATTTTGGATGTGATCCAAAAATATATTGCTCATTGCTCATAGCATCTAATTCAGTGAGCATTTATATCTTCACTTTTCTTCCTTTATTTTATCCAGTGCATATTAAATATAAAAGCCTAATCCAAAGACAAGAATCCATCTAATTTCTCCTAGTGCCATTGTGGCTGTACAGAAGAATCATCCTGCCTTTTGTTTGTTTTCTAGTCCTAGGAACCCTGAATTTCCCTCTGCAGAGAAGAAGGGGTAGTCAGTGCTGCTGTCCTCTGTTAGCTTACCATGTGTAAACTGGGGACAACCCCTCAGAGGTAGGATTTGGTTTTGGGCTGCATTTAGCTGTGAAGTTGAAATAGTGTCTCTTGTGTTATGAGTAGATACTGTCACCACCAGCCAGCCTATAAGACATAAGCACCATTCTGCCATGTCATCAGTGAATGTGGCCAGGCTGAGTTGTTTTTATGATGGAGTTTCACATTAGATGTGCTTAAGACAACTGAAACACATTCTTAGGAGATTTATGGGCAGTAATGCCTAGTATGCAGATTTTAGTTGACGGCCAAGATACTGAGCCTTGCCAAAATGGTAGGACATCTAAGCATGTGCATCAGAGCAGGAGTTTAACCTATCTATCTCCTTTTCTTAGCTACTTTAATGTATGGGTTTTTTTGGTAGTTTGTGATTCTAACTTTTGGAATTGTTGCCTATAACCCACCAAAGTAATTCTGAGGATCAGGATGCTTAAAAGATGGACATTCTGATGCATAACTTGTTAGCGCCTAACTTCTCTTTACATTCACATTTTTCAGTTACTAATACTTTATAATGACAAAAAGACCTGAAATAAGTTTTCCTATTTGAGTAGGAACAGAGTGTTGTCAGAAATTGTAAGTCAAGGAGGTATATTTTTCCAGAATAAATACCTGTATGGCTAATTTAGCTGTTCTATTAAGGAGACCATGTCTGGAAATTGAGCTCTGCGTTGTAGTTAATCATTTTTAAAGGGGGAAATAATCTTTTGGCAATTAGAATGCTGAAAGACCCAGCGCACTTTAATAATCACATTCTCTCCATAGCCCTGCACAGCTAAGTGCTGCTAGTTCTGAGTTTATAAATTAAGAGAAAAATACATGGAAGTTAACCTACGTACAGCAAACACTTCTCATTTATGTCAAATGTCTACACCTTACAAATGAAGCCTGGACCTGCATAACAAGGCAAATGAAAATTTTAATAATGTCTCACACCTACATTCATGCATGATTAAGAGAGGAAGTTATACTGGGGACCTTATTTTTTAACAGAATTTACAAATATATTGTGATTAGTCTTTATTAACTTTGCTCGCAAGACCTTTGAGGTTTTTCTTTGTTTCTTTTTTAGCTTTTCCTCTGGTCTCAGAGTATTGGAGCTGAGCATGGCTGGCCCATGTAAGGTGAACCTGAGTCTGTCTGCCTCATTGCTCATACTTACAAACTTCCCATGGGATACAAACATTTCAGCGAGCAGAGTACAAGCCCTTCTTTCACCGACAGTTTTAAAGACCTGCATGTAAAGTTGGACTGGACTTGAATGTGTGAAAGTTCATAACCTAACTTTTCATGATTTACCCACTTTTATGTCATAATTAAGAGAGTTTATTGTAATCTGATTTTATCTAGTTAAAAATGAACTCATCTGTTGAATACTTGTAATAAAAAAGGTGTGACTGCCACTTTTTAGCATGAAAAATGGAGAGCAATCTTTGTTTCAAACTTATTGAGCTCAGACAGCAAATTAAAGTACAGCTACATTTTACTGACTATAAAACTCCTTATGAAGTTAGTGCGGCTGCAGTTTTAATGCCATCCTGTGAAGATCCATTCCACTTCTAAAAACCTCTGAGCCTGCAGTAGGTTTGATATATCTTTCCACAAATCTTATCTGTGGTAGGATTAATAAATTTGGCACTAACAGCTTTAAAGTATGTAATTGCGTAATAACATCTGGGCCTGGTGCCTTGCGCCTGTTTACCTGTGGATGGACATGAAATGGAGATAAATACTGGTTCTTTTTCTGACTCACCGGTGAGCCTCACCAGTGCCAGAATGCCTTGGGCTGTGCTAACAAAAAAGCGGGGTCTCAGTAAGAGATTAATGCACAGAAATTGCATAACACCTGTTACTCACCAAAATACGCTAAAACCCACTGGGGCAGAAGACTCTTACACCCAGCAGCTGCATAATGCATTTCTGCACGTGCAGAAATCTTCAGAGGGGGTTAAGTACAAAAAGACATGTGAACTCCAGCCCTTAGTTACTTGGGGACATCATAAAAGAACTCAGGCATAAAGAGAGAGGGTAATTCAATGGCATTACATAGGGACTTCAAAAATTTACTCATCTTTTTCTTGAATCTGGACTGACTAAGCTGATTTGGGCTGAGCAGCAAAGCAGATGGGGCTGCTGGCTCTTTCACCTGAGGGCAGAGAACAAGCCAGGGACAAAGAAGCAGAGCAGGTGCTACTGCATTTGGAGAATGGGACAGAAGGAGTCAGCAGGGCAGTGGCCAAACAGTGTTTTCATTTGTTTGTTTGCTTTCTAGGAGGGCTAGAGAAGGTGCATGGGCATCCACAAGCTGCTGCTGCTATAGCAGTGAAGAAAAGGGAATCTTAATCTTTCAACCCTTCAGAAATCAGATATTTTTCTGAGCTCTCTGCCAAGCTCTACCCTGTGCATGTTAATAGTAGCATATCCTGAGGTCTGGAAAAGCTGCAGCCCTAATACCTGTCTAGAGTGATCCTGCAGTCAACATGTTGGTATGGATTTGAAAGACCAAGGGAGTAATGTGACACACAAACTAAAATTTTCTGTTTTGTATGAAACAACTAGAATAAATGTACTGCTTAAATAGCAGGATTTGAAATTGAGATTTTAGGTCAGGGGCCATCTTATCTAAAGATGCCTCTTGTTTAATAAAAGGAACTAATGGATGGATCTTTCTCAACCTTTCAAGCGCTGTCTGCACAGTGATGGGGAATGGCTTTCTGCCTCCTCTGCTATGTACTTTGTGTAGAGAGCAGAGTGAGAACTGACCACTCTGAACTGGTATCACAATTTTGAATCTAGATTCACTTTGCATAAGTCTCATTTACTGTGTTAAGCTAAAAAGCAGAGAAAATAATCTCTCTGATTTACTTGTTTTATGTAGGAACTGGCCAGAACAGGTTCTACCTAGTACTTCAAACAAAAGCTTTCTGTTGCCCTTTGAACAGAGGAGTAAGAATCTTTTTTTCTTGTTTCATGACTAAAATAAAATCTGAAAAAAATGAAAGCAAGGATTGTGCTGTGAAAATAGAAATTTATATTCTCTTATTTTCAGCTGCACTTTTAAGTACAAAATAAACCACAACATCCCTAAAATTTTATATGCAGTGCATAAATAACCTGCCTTCTGGTACAAACAGTGTAAATATCTGATTTGCAGCAAGGAAGGACTACCCAGAAAAGGATCTTAACTGAGCTAAAATGATTATGCTTTGCTCTCTTCATTGATTAACAAGATCTCTACCTCACTGGATATCCAAATGTTACATAGAAAATAAAACATTTCTAAACATTTCTTTAGTGTGTATGATCTTTGTACTAGCATTAGCTGGAATGATACCATGAAATCGGACCCTGGAGAAAGAGAATGACTGAATGCCTGAGTCACTGATTTGAGACACATTGAATATATTTGGACACATTAGCTATATTGATGACTCAGAATTCCTGGTATACCCTCAGTTTAACATGTCAAGTAATTGCACCCATGCCTTGCCAGGCTAAGCACTGCAGAGGATACTAGTATTAGGTTATGACATATTAACAGCAACTTAATATTGAACTTGAGAACTTACTCAACATAATAAGTGCCATAAATGGGATCATCAATTTTCTCCCAGCCATATGGAAGCTCTGAAAAACAAAGAGTTATCTCTTTCAGTAAATGCAGTATGGAACGCTAAGATTTCTAATAATGAAATTGTGGATCTTTGCTGGGTGTTGAGGGAAATAACTTGATAGTGAAACTAGATACAGTGACCAAAGCAAATGCCAAATCTTGAACACATGCCATGGCAGCCACAAGTAGTAGTAACTTGAAAATTGGCATGCAAACACAGATCTCAGTCTCTAGAACAACACATTTTAGTTGAACTACTTTATTGTTCCAACAGCTGTGCCAGCCAACAACTGTAGCACATCTTGTATGACATCACCGCCGGAGGAAGTGAGGGCATTCTGTTTTCCCAAATAGGTACCCACAAAAAAAGTACTTTGCTTTTTGGGCTTTTTTCTTTGCTAGGAAAAGTTGGTCTAGAAGGAATGAAAAGAGTTTGCCTCTTGCCACGTGAGTACAGTAAGTATACCTAAATGTTCCTGAGAAGTTTGTACTATTTGTCTCACTGTGATGGCAGTTCCACAGCCACCAAAGGCATCCTGTTCCAAAGCTTAGTTATATAACAGGGACATCGGAGTACATAGTAGTACATGGAAGTACAAACCAAAATAAGATATTATAGCATCCTCTGGCCATAAAACTAATTACATTTTGCAGAAATAGAGATCCCTAAAACATTCCGGTATTAACAATTAAAATGTTAAATACATTAATTTAATGATCTCGAAAATCAGTCTGTGTTCATGTACAAGCAAACTGTCATATATATATTCATGTACATCCATACATATTTTATTATCATTCACGCTGAATGCTTAACAAATTATTATACTCCCAACAGAACTTCATCCTGTGTTTAAAAGGCACCAGAAGGATGTGACAAGTATCTCAGCTGACACGAACAGAGTAAAAACGTCAGTGCCAGATGTGATGACTTTGATGGAAGAGACTCACAAAAGGATGGGCATTCCCATCACACACAGGTATCGATTTCTGTGCAGTTAAAGACTATGGTACAATATATGGGGAGTGGTACTGAGATTCTATAAGGAAATTTGATTCTGGAATTTCTTATCCAGATTTTTTTCCTTTTTAATCTCAGTTGCACTTTTAAAGTAACTTTTCGGACACAATGAGTACTGAACTAGACAGAGCAGAACTGATGTAACTCGTACTGAACACAGTTATTAAACTGGCCATAAAGAAGTACTCCTGGATGATTTGAGCTTCTTTTTTTTTTCAGTGACAATGTGCATAGACAATTATTGATGTGTTCTAAAAGGCAAATAGGGAAGTAAAGCCTGACTGGCAATAGAGAGATTAAAGAGTTAAAAAACAATTTTAAGAAATGGCTTCATCTCTGCTTGTTACTTCTCATTTAAATGCCTCTGTAATAGCTGATCCTTTCTTGAGTGAACCTGCTTAGACGGCTGTAGTCTTCATGTCACATTGCCCTCAGAGGATGTTCCTGCTCAGCCTATTCCAGTACTGCAATGAAGGATACAACCTTCTGCCAGAGACAGGCAGATGAGGAACTCCACATTACTTTTTTTGTAATGAAAAACTCAAGGACTTTCTTAGTTGATTGATACTCAATTTTTCCTATTATTTTTACAATATTGTTAGCTTTGAAGTCTTCACATCTGCACTCTGAACTGCTTTTGTCAGGGCTATTTTGTTATTGTCACTTCATAGGAATAAATGCAGCATAAGGTATTTAAGCAAATCACAGAATCACAGAACAGTTGAGGTTGGAAGAGACCTCTGCAGATTGTCTAGCCCAACCCCTCTGGTCAAAGCAGAGGTCATCTAGACCAGGTTGCTCAGTACCATCTCCAGTCGGCTTTTGAATATCTCCAAGGATGGAGACTCCACAACCTCTCTGGGCAACTCCTTCAAGTGTTTGATCACCCACAGAGTGAAGAAGTTTTTTCTTATGTTTAAGCAGAATTTCCTGGATTTCAGTTTGTACTCTTTACCTCCTGTCCTGTCACTGGGCAAGAATTTCCTTATTTCAGTTTGTACTCTTTACCTCCTGTCCTGTCACTGGGCACCACTGAAAAAAGCCTGGTTCTGTCTTCCTTGCACCCTCTCTTCAGATATTTACTTAGATTGATAAGATCCCCGAGCCTTCTCTTCTCCAGGCCAAACACAGATTGTCTAGCCCAACCCCTCTGGTCAAAGCAGAGGTCATCTAGACCAGGTTGCTCAGTACCATCTCCAGTCGGCTTTTGAATATCTCCAAGGATGGAGACTCCACCACCTCTCTGGGCAACTCCCTCCAGTGTTTGATCACCCACAGAGTGAAGAAGTTTTTTCTTATGTTTAAGCAGAATTTCCTGTATTTCAGTTTGTACTCTTTACCTCCTGTCCTGTCACTGGGCACCACTGAAAAAAGCCTGGTTCTGTCTTCCTTGCACCCTCTCTTCAGATATTTACTTAGATTGATAAGATCCCCGAGCCTTCTCTTCTCCAGGCCAAACAGTCCCAGCTCTCTCAGCCTCCCTTTATAGGGAGATGTTCTAGTCCCTTAACCATCTTAGTGGCCCTTCACTGGGCTCTCTCCCGTATGTCCATGTCTCTCTTGTACTGGTGAGCCCAGAACTGGATCCAGAACTCCAGCTGTGTCTCACCAGTGCTGAGTAAAGGGGAAGGATCATCTCCCTTGATCTGCTGGCAATGCTCTGTCAAATGCAGCCCAGGAGGCTGTTGGCCTGCTTTGTTGCAAGGGCATGCCACTGGCTCATTGTCAAGTCACCAAGCATTAGAAAGCCCTGGTATTGCTCTTGCTCTGCCCAGAACTTTGATAAAATCTGTAGGAGATTGACCTTACAATGATTCCCACAGAGTCCTGTATATCCTGAGACAAGACTGTGGGTTGTAATACATAAATATTCAAAAAGAAAGCAGCTGATGCACAAATCCTGTACTGCCCCTACAGTAAACTTCATTCCCAATGCATGCACAATAAATAAGGCTCCTCTTAATAATTTGCTATGAAAAATAATACTCTTACATAACCCTATGACATAGAATAAATATAAAGTGTTAGTTTAAATACAGTAGGTACATTTTATTCTCATGTAACCTTGCAAGGATTTCCTTAATCTAATTAACTTCATGTTGCTTTCATATCTGGCCATCAAAAATTACACTCCCTTAGAAAAAAGTGAGGCAGGTACCAGTAAAATCTGTACAGACTTAAAAATACACATAAACATGCACACACACACATAAATGTGTGCACAGGTCCCTTTTCCAAAGTGTATTAGTAGACGGAGTTTTTTCCAACTACAAAATAAAAAAAGAAAGTAGATGTTTTGCCCAAATTCAAATTTAAAAGTAGGTATCTTTCTGTAAATATATACACTTTAAAGTGTATAGATGCAGAGGACATATTTTATTTTACATATTTATGAAAATCTGAAATAATTTGAGGATTTACTATTAACCTATTGGCCTATTTTTTCCTAAAGTAATGATGCATAACTGTATTTATGAACTAGCACAACTATTGAGAAGGCAAATGGCAAATCCCATTTTCTAGTGTAAAAGTCTGTAAAAATTTAATGAATTGGACATATTATGGAGAACCCACTTTTAAATGCATGGATTGAACCACTGATTATCTAACATCATAAAAAAGTCATGGGTTCAGAAGAAAGGAAATAAAAAATTACCTTCATGTGCCATAATGGATATAAACTCCATGTAAGGCTATGCTTTAATTTCATTTTTCCATTTGAGATGCAGCCTGTAAGCTACGTTTAATTAAAATTCTGTGTTGACCAGTAAAATGGAATTGCTAGAGCACAAACCCCAAGCCCCCTGCTCCCCCCCTCCAAAGTATGGCAGATAAGGTTAGTGGAGTGTACAGAGATTCTGTTAGAAGAATCTTCTGCTACATTTCCTTTCAGGAGCACCGTGATTATTTTTCATTATATTAAATGGTGGCATCTATTCCATTTTTCACTATTGAAATGAAAGATTACAGGACAGAAATACTTTAGTGCTTCATAAAATAGGAAGCTAAGCATTTGCCAAATTAGGGGTGAGGACATTACAGTTTCTCTTTTTCATTTCACTGTGCCCAGTGATGATCATTAAGGATGAGAGTGAACAGTAAACATTTATAAAAGAGAATTGTTATAAAACACTTGTAAAGGAGATTACTATTGGCCACCGTGATTTGAATTGGGAAGGGAGCTATAAATTATAGTATTCTCTGATATTCATTTGGTAGCACTAGCCTGCTAGTTCATGTATAATTTGTGCAACCAACGGTTTCATGGTTACCATGCTATATATGAAGTCTTCATTTTCATGAGCTCAACACTTCTATCATTCATGTCTTTCAATTCTATTGACTCCAGGAGGATTTCTCTGTATAGAAGGAAAAAAACTATCTATCCTTTATTTTCAGTCTTCAATATCCGGCATTGCATTCCCACAGATCTCCTCCCATCATCCAGTGATAGGAAAGGTGCTGGATAATCTGTAGAGTACATATATATGCTCCAGTTTTCACATTTCATGCTTTATTCCTAACCAGAGAAGCAGCATATAGCTAACACTGCAGCAGTCATCAAAAAAAAAAAAGATCAGAAAGGCACAGCTGATACTCAGACACTTTGCTCAGTAAGCATCTAGGTAGGTTTTTAAATGCAGAAGGAGCTGCATTTCTAAAAGTGAAATGCCCAATGGTAACAAAGGCCTTTGTATTTTCAAAGAAAGAAAGAAAGAAGGAAAGAAAGAAGGAAAGAAATAAGCAAAAAAAGAAAGGAAAGACTAATGTAAATTCAAGCAGGTCACTTTAATAATCAGTGGTAGTGCCTTCTCATCATAGCCTGCTTATGCTAATGGTCCAGATGCTCTTATTCTGCCTTCTGAAAGCTGTTGTGTTTCAGAATGATTTTTTGATGGTGCCACTTAACCTTCTCTGGGGATGGAGGAAGGAATACATTCTGGATCTTGATGTGCCAGATGAAAAAGCATTTTACCAAACCCAAAGATTAAT